CCAGGCTCCCTTGAAGGGCGCGGCCTGTGCGCACACACAGCGGGGCCGGCCCCGAGGGGACGGAGGCACCAGCCCCGAGTGGGGTCTTCCCCGGGGAAGAGAAACCTAGGGGGGCGGGCCCAGAGGGGCAGAGCCGGGCAGACAGTCAGATGCGGCCCGAGGCGGCCCTGGCGGCGGCCCCGAGGCTGAGGGGCTTGGGGCAGGTCCCGGCCCGCTCCTCGCTTTCACAACGTGTGCGCCGGGTGCCCGCGTGCCCCCCAGGGGCTTCTCCCAGACACCCCGGGGGAGCCCCGTCCCTTCCTGCGGGCAGCGGCCCAGCTCAGCGCTTCGGGCCCTGCTGTCTGCGGGTGCCCGGAGCTGGCAGGACCCCCAGCCTGCAGGCTCCTCTGCCGGGCTCTGGGGGAGATGCCCTCAGACCTCCCCCTCTGTCCGCCCCCCGTCCTCCCCCCTTGGGCCCCCCTCTGTCCTTCCCCAGCTGGGGGCCAGCAGGCAGGCTCGGGGGCGGGGGGCGGAGGCAGCACCAAGAGGGCTCCAGGGTGACAGCATGACGGGAGCTGAGCCGGGGAGGACCCCACATGCCCGCGCCCTCCCCGCGGCCCTGGCCTGCCCAAAGAGGACGGGCCGCCAGAGGCCCAGTGCCAGCCACCCGCGGTCACCCAGGAGCATGGCCCTGGCGCTGGGGGGGCTGCAGGGGAGCCCCGCAGAGATGCCCCACAGAGGGGCCCTGGAGGAGGGCCGCAGTCGTGGGGGGCGGAGGGCAAGGCCCTCTGCCTCCACGGGGCCACCCTGCTGAAGAGTAACGACTCGCGCTGAAGTAGGGGTGTGAGTCCCCGGAGGCCTCCGGACCCCATCCCGGCCGGGCACCTGGTCAGGCTGGGGGGCTGCAGGGGGCGGGAGATACATGGGGGCAGCAGCCCCCGAGCTCTCCAGGGGGCTGGTGGGGGGGCCTGGCAGCACCGCCCAGCCTGGTGCCCACAGCCAGAGGCAGGGGCTGAGCTTCACCACGGAGAGGCCACCCGCTCCCCGGGGCCGAGAGCAGGAGAAAAGGGGCTGGCGCCTCGGGGCCTCTTGACCCGGGAAGAGGCAGCCCCTCTGCCAGCCGCTGAAGTGGGCTCCGGGGCCTGGCAAGACCGCCTGCTGGGCCTCTGGCACCATCCAGTTCTTCACGCTGGCCTGGGGCAACAAAGCGAGTCTGGATGCCAGCTGGGCCCGGGGTAAGGCGGCCAGAGGTCAGCTGCCGGCAGGGAGGGCTGCGGATGGGCTGGCGTCCTGCACGCGGCCTTCCCTTGCAGTCCCTGTGCCCCTCCCCAGTGCCATGGGTCGGAGGAGGAAGCCGGGGCCTGGCCAAGGAGGACGCACCGCCAGAGCCTGGTGCCACCCACCCGCGGTCACCCAGGAGCATGGCCCTGGCACTGAGGGGGGGGCTGCAAGAGAGACCCCGCAGAGATGCCCCACAGAGGGGCCCCAGAGGAGGGCCTGACCGGGGCCAGGGGCTGACCCGGGGCTCCTGGGGGCCCGGGGCCCACCCCAGAGCAGCAAGGCGGCGGGTGGCCCGGGCTCCGGGCTCGGCTCGGGGTGCTGGGTCTCTGCACGGCAGCCCCTCTCCCCCGCCCCGGGCGCGAGCCTGAACCCCAGCACGCAGACACGTCGCGGGCGTGAGAGGCTGGCGGTGCCGCCCGCCGGCTCCCCGGGGCAGGCACGTGGCGCTGCAGAAGGGGCCGCGGCCCTTGGCCCCAGTCCGGCTCCTGCGCCTCCGGGCCTGGCCCCGACAGCTGTCCTCGCCCTCGCCGCCCTGTCTCCCAGCCCAGAGCCCCTCCCCGGAGGAGGAACCCCTGTCCCCCACTCTGGCTCCCGGCGAGGGCTGGGACACTCGAGGCGTCTCCTGGTGGCTCCCGAGCCCAGACCCCATGCCCGGGCCACAAGCCCTGGCCAGCGCGCCCCGCCCGCCCCGCTGGCCCCGGAGCCCACTTCAGCGGCTGGCAGAGGGGCTGCCTCTTCCCGGGTCAAGAGGCCCCGAGGCGCCAGCCCCTTCTCTCCCGCTCTCGGCCCCGGGGCCTCTCCGTGGCCGCCTCCCTGGGGTTGCCGCGGAGGAGGGAAGTGGGCCGAGGCCTCCCCTCATCTATTTTTCAGCGCAAACCCATGAAAGATTCACGGGCTGTGTCACTTACAGGTTGCAGGAGGGCATCGCCCCGCGGCACCCCCACGAGTGCCCAGCCCCCGCCCGCAGCCTGGCCTCCCGCGGCGCCCAGCCCTCCGGCCCTCCCTCTGCTCCAGCTCCAGGCCTGGAGCCCCGGGGCGGCACCCAGGAGGGCGTCCCCGCACCCCGGCTCCTCTCGGGGCCTCCGTCTGCCCCTCCCTTCTCCCGGCAGGCGGGTCGCGGGGAGAGGAGCCCACGGTGTCCTGGCAGAGAGGCCCTGGCTGGCTGCAGCTTCCGGAGCAGCCTGGCTGTGCTCCAGCACGGGGACGTGGCTCTCAGCCAGCTGGGGGGCCAGGAGCCCCCTCACAGGTGGGGGCCGGGGCTCAGGCACGGGCGGGGAACTTGGATTTGACGGAGCGGGCCCGACTTCAGTTTGGGCTCCGGCTGCCCAGCCCTACTGCCACGAGGCAGGGAGGGGTCACAAGGTGTGGGGTGCACCTCGGCTCCCCGGACAGCCCCCAACCTGGCACACAAGACCGCAGGAGCAGCTGGACTGGCGGCAGGAGGCCGGTGGGCAGGCGCTGGGCTCCCCCCGGGACCCCTTGGCCTGCCCCGGCCTGCTCCCCCCCTCAGCGCCCGCCCGGCCCTCGCCGGCCGCAGGCGGTGCGCCCCTGCCCTGGGGTCCCTGGGGTCCCTGCCGCCGTGCCGGGGGGACGGCCGACTCAGCCGGGAAGCCCCGGGACACCGGGTGCTCTGGGGGGGACGGAGCGGAGCCCCGCGGTCCCCACCTGGGGTGGTTGAGGGCCGACTCTGGGGAGTTCCCTCTGGGTCTCGCCAACCCAGACGACCCGGGGGTTCCTCTCCGAGACAGAGTTGTCCTCAGCTTTCCGCGCTGCTCGAACATGAGAAGGCTGGCGGCGGTTTCAAGCCCATCCCCTGAGCGTCTGACGCCCCCCCAGCGCCCCCAGCCCCAGCCCGCCCGCCACCCCTCGTCTCTGGAGGAAAACCCACGTTTCTTCCTCTGCTGCACAGAGCAAGGAAGGGCTGAGCTTGGGAGCAGCCTGGACGTCTGCCTGAGGCCACCCCGGCGCCCAGGGCCGGGGGCAGGAGGTCAGGCACACACTGGGCAGCCGGGCAGGGACACTGTGACCAGGGGAGCCTCCTCCCCATCACTTCCTGGCTGGGTGACTCACCCCCGGGGCCTGTCCGCGTCTGTAAAGGGCAGGCACTGGCCGGGCGGTGGCAGGCCAGTCCTGAGGCTGGGGACGTGCGGCAGTGCGGGGGAGGGGCGGGGCGGCACCCCAGCAGTGTGCCAGTGGGGGGGGCAGTGCGGGCAGGAGAGGAGTGGGCGGGGCCGCAGGATGGGGAGGGGAGCCCTGGGGTCCTGCGCGGGTGTAAGGGCCGGTGGCCACTCACAGGTACACCCCTACCTAGCTGCAGGAATGGCTCACCCCTCCCGGAAGCCCCTGCACCTGCCCCTGCGCCCGGCTTGTGGTGGCACAGCCCTCTGCACCCAGCGCATTCCTTCTCCCGGAGTCCCGCTGTCAAGTGTCCAGGTGTCGGGGAGTCCTGCCACCTGCCACCGCTGCCTGGGCAGAGCCATGCCCCCGTCCCGGGGCGCGCAGACCTCCTCTAGAGGCCTTGGCAGAGTCCTGCGCCCATGGACACACAGGCGCCCTGTTCAGAGAGACAGGCTGGCAGGCGGGGCCCGGGCTGGAGTAGGGGTGGCAGGGGCAGCCTGGACTGCAGCCCACACGTCTGTGGTAAAAGGAACGGAGGGACCCCCCACTTCAGGAAAAGCTCCCGGGCCCCTCAGCCCCAGTAGGGAGAGCCCACCTCCCTCGGGCCAGCCGTCCCTTCTGACCGCAAAGCCGCGGTGCTTGTCAGTGAGACCTCCAGGCCGGTCACCACAGCCGGGCCTCCCGGCTCCCCAGGGCCGAGGTCCCGGGGCGGGCGTGCCTGGCCAAGCACCCGGCAGCCAGGCCTGGGGGTGACACCCGAGGATGTGCCTGCCCAAGCACGTGTTGCTCAGCACACGCTGGGCACTGGCCTCCGGGCACTGGCCCCACCCACCTGGTGAGGTCATCCCACAAGGGACCAGGGGACCCACCTTACAGCCCCACCTGTAAGAGGGGTTCTCTGTCCCAAGCGTACTGCCCCCCTGTGCCAGGCTTGCGCGGACTCTGCCCACGTGGGTGCCGTTGCCTCTTATCTGCACTGGCCCTGCACCAGCAGCCTGGGGTGCCACTTTCTGGCACCCAAGGCATGCCCCAAAACACACCCCACTCCCACTGCCCCCTCCAGTGAGCCCACCAGGTCCACCCTGGAGCCGCTGCAGGGGCAGTGCCAGCCAGGGGGTCCTCATCACCCCGGGGTTCCAGGGCTCCTTTGTGTGGCCACCAGCCTGGCGGCGGCTGCCCTCCCTGGCACCTTCGGGGTTGCGTTTCTGGCCCAGTGGTGGGGACCCGGCAGGACAGGAGACCCGGACTGGGGGGCCCCCGCCAGGGCGCAGGAGACCCCGCAGCGGGAGGGGTCGGCGGCGGGCGGGGGCGCGTGGGGCGGGGCGCGGAGCGGGCGGAGACGCCGGGCGGGCGCCGGGCCGGGCCGGGCCGGGCCGGGCGCGGCGGGGAAGGGGCGGGGCGGGGCGGGCGCACCTAGGCGCTTCCCGGGGCGCGTCCTCCCGCGGCCGCCCCGCCCCTCTGCCTCGCAATAAGGGGCGCGGGCGGGGCGGGGCGGGCGAGCCGGCGCCCGCTCGCAGGTCGGCCCGCGCGCGCGGCCGGAGGGGACCCGGGGAGGCAGCTCGGCCGGCGCCGTCGGGGCTCCGAGGCGCCGCGGGCCGTGCGCCGTCCGGGCGGCCGCGGCCATGGAGCTCCTGCCCTGGCTGACCGCGGCGCTGCTGCTGCTGCTGCTGCTGGTGCGGCGGAGCCGCGCGGCCAAGTTCTACGCCAAGATCAGCCTGTACTGCGCGCTCTGCCTCGCCACGGCCGCCACGGCCTCGGTCGTGTGCCTGCTGCGCCACGGGGGCCGCACGGTGGAGAACATGAGGCAAGGCGCGGGCGCGGGGCGGGGCGGGGCGCGGGGCAGGGGCGCGGGGCGGGGCGGGGCGCGCGCGGGGCAGGGGCGCGGGGCGGGGCTGGGCGCGCGCGGGGCAGGGGCTCGGGGCGGGGGCGCGGGGCTGGGGCGCGCGGGGCAGGGGCGCGGGGTAGGGGCGCGGGGCGGGGCAGGGGCGCGGGGCTGGGCGCGCGGGGCAGGGGCGCGGGGCTGGGGCGCGCGCGGGCAGGGGCGCGGGGCGGGCAGGGGCGCGGGGCTGGGCGCGCGCGGGGCAGGGGCGCAGGGCTGGGGCGCGCGCGGGGCGTGGGCACCCCGGCGGCCTCTTCCGCGTCCGGGCGGCCCGGCCCCTCTCCCGCCCTCCTGCCCCGCCCGCGCGCGCCTCCCGGGCCGGGCCGGGCTCCGGGCGGGCGGCGAGGCGGGCAGGGCTGCCGGGCGCCAGCGTCACAGAGTCCCGCGTCCTGCCCGGCGGGGCTTGGAAAGGCCGCGGCGCGCCCGGCGCCCGGCGGGGGCGGCTCTCGCGGGGAGGGGCGGGCCGCGCCGGGAGGCTCCGTCCCTCGCCCACGGGGAGCCGGGGCCGCGGGGCTGGTGGCCGCGCCCTGGGCGCCCGCGTCCCGCGCCCACCCGCCGGGTGCACCTGCGCCCGCGCCGGCCGCGGGCTCCCGCTCTGCCCCTTGGGGGCTCGGCGCCCGGAGGACGGACGGGGTTGGCCCCGGCTCCTGCCTCAGGCCGGGGAAGGAAGGGGGCGGCGGCTGGAATTTTCCTACGGAGCCTCCCAGAGCCGCTGGGGTGGGGTGGAGGGTGGGGCTGGACGGCCTGACCCGGAGCTGCGAGCCTCCCCGGTCAGAGGCTGGGGGCGTGGCTGCGGAGGGGGCCCCCCCATGCCCTCACCGGCTCGGATCTGGCGTCCTGGGCTTCTCTCTGCCCGGGTTGGACGCCCGGGCGGCTTTTGCAAGGGCCCCCTGTGGCCTGGCCGGGCGTACCCTGGTCCCCTGGCCGCCCTGCCTTGTGGTTACGGGGCAGCGGGTGAAGGTTCCTGGCCGGCTGTGCCCCTCCTGGCGCAGGCCCTGTGACTCGTGGGGTCCCCAAGGAGCCCAGAGAGGGGCGAGGGCTCAGCCCTCCCCAGACCCGCCCCCACAGTGGCCCGGCCCGTGTCCTCCGGGGAGCACAGACCACGGGCAGCCCAGAAGCTGCCCTGCCACAGTCTTCCCCAGTGGGGCGCTCCCTGCCGGGCTGGGGCCGTTTCCTGAAAGGGGCGCGCCCAGGGCCTGCTTGCTCGACCTCCCTGGTAGTGTCGGGGCCCTGGGCTGGGCCCTGGCCTGAAGCTAAGGCTGCAGGCCCCTGCAGGCAACGGCCGCCCCTGGACAAGGTGCTGCTGGGCCCGGCCTGGAGGGCGGCAGCCCCTGGAGGGGTGGTCAGGAGGCCGGCCGCGTGGGCTCTTCGGAGGGGCGGCAGGCAGGAGGGGCTTTCTGCCGGTGGGTGGCCTTGCGGATGGGGCTGGCAGGTCACTTTCCCGAGGTCCTGCCGGGACCTGGTGACCAGCTGCGGCACCAGCCGCCGCTTTACAGGTGGCTTCCTGGACTTTTAAGAGCCCCACACGCCCTCCAGGGCACGCCCCGACTTCAAAGCTGCTTGGGGTGTCACGTCGGAAGTCACCGCTGCCCGTGCCCACACGGCGGCTGGACCTGAGAGGCTGGCCAGACGCTCGTGGACCTCCTGCCCCACCCTGCCCGGCTGCAGCTCCTGGGCTCACCCCAGATTTGGGCACTCCCGAGTCTGGCGCCTGTGGGCAGCTTCTTGCCGCCCTCCCCAGGGCGGTCCCCGGCCGGGCGCGATGGGGCAGCGACGGTTCTGTTCCCTGGCTGGGAGGCGGGCCGTGGGGCCCGGAACCCGCAGCCTCCTTCCCCTGCGCCCGCGCCCTCATTCTCACGGCTGCGGACGGCCAGGGCGCCCCAGCAGTGGCCCGTGGTGGGGCAGGGTCAGCAGTCAGGCGTGTGCACATGCGAACCTCACCCCCGAGGGGCCTGCGTGTGGTGGGCGGGCCCTCAGCGTGCCGGGGAGGGGGCTGCAGGGCGCCAGCCTCTGACGGGACGGGGGGAGTGGTGGGGAGGGCTTGAGCCGCAGGGTCCCGCGAGCACCCGCGCGCCCGGCTGCCAGGAGGACTCTGCCGCCACCCTCAGGGCCAGTCTCTGCTCCTCTCCTGAGCACCTACTGTGCGCAGCAGCTGCCTGGCCCTTGGGAGGGGGACTTAAGCTCTGCTGCGGAGATGCAGCGCCCCAGGCCCGGGGGGGGGGGGGGGCGAGGCCTCAGGGCAGAGCAGGGCGGGAGGACTGGGGGGCAGCCTCTGAAGAGGCCTCCGCCCGGCTTTCCTGTTCCCGGCGCCTGCCTCGCACTCGCTGGGCCTCACGGGGCCGCGGGGCCTCCTGGGGCTGCTGCAGGGGTCAGGGCGCCCCGGTGCTGACTGGCTCTGAGTGTCAGGGACCAGCAATGGAAGTCGAAGGGCCAGGTGGGCAGCTCTGACCCCGCCGCTTGGGGGCAGCTCTGGCCCTGGCCTGAGACCAGGGCCCCCTCCGGCGGCCGTGCAGGGCTGCGGTGGAGGTGTCGGCCTCGGCTCCCAGGAGACAGGTGCCTTGTCACGCCCACGTGGCAGCGGACGGCTGTGTGTGGGCTCCAGCCCCGTCCCCCGGGGAGGCCTCACAACCGTAGCTTAGCCAAGAGCCTGCCCTTCACGCTCGCGGGACCAGCGCTGCCCTGGGGCCCCAGGGAGCCTCGGCTGCTCCGTCCTTGGCCCCACGACCCAGGGCCCGGCGTGCCGGCTGCTCTTAGCTGTAAGGGACGTGGGCAGCGAGCACTGAACACTGAACACGTAGCTGAACACTCTGGGAGAGAGGGCGGGCGCCCTTTGGGCCACAGCCTCAGCCAGAGCTGCCAGCCGCCCGCACGGCCTGGAGGAAGCTGGATGGGCACAGCCTGGGCAGGGCCGCGGCGTTGGGGACTGGCCGGGGGCTGGCCTGGAAGGAAAGCAGCCCTGGGTGGGGTGAAACCAGAGCTCCTGCAGGCCGGGGGATGCACCCCTCCTTCCGCCCCTCTCCCCTCGAGACTGACCCTCCCACCTACCCCCTTAACGCTTCCGGTGTCTGCGTGACACCCCCCCCCCGCCCCGTCAGGCACGGGTCTGCCCGGAGCCTCCCAGCACCCCGTCCCCTGAGCAGCCTGTGACGGGGCCACCTTCCGGCCCTCGCTGTCCGGGGCACGGCCTGTGGGGTCTGGCTGCGGACTGTGAGCCTCAGCCTGAACAGCTGCCCAGGCCCCCGGGAGCAGCCTCGCCCGAGTCCAGGGGCAGAGGGCAGAGGGTGCTGGCAGCCCGGGCCCTGGCCTTGAACCCCCACCCCCACTGGGCCGGTGCCGGCGGGCAGGGCGGACGGTCAGCGGAGGGGCCCCTCGGTCGGGTTTACTTTGGATCTTGTTCTGCTTGTGCCATGTGCAGCCTCACAGCCGCTGCTTGGGGGTGGGGGCTCCCAGCGTCCCCAGATTTCTGGGGAGTTTGGTTCCCTCACCCCTTTCCCATTTTACAAGTGGCAGCCTGGGGAGGTCAAGTCTGTTGCCCAGGGTCGCAGCAGGTGAGACGGGAGCTGGGTCTGGCTCAGAGCTCGGGGTAGGGGACCCCGAGGGCCAAGGGGTGCTGCTGGGGCCGCCACCCAGCTCCCTCCGCACCAGCAGTCATAACGGCCCGGCCCGGGGTCCGGTGGCGGCTGCTGCACCAGGCCCTGGAAGCCAGGGCCCCTCCCGGGTGCTGACCGACAGCCCACAGCCTGCCCTCTGGGGCCACCCCAGGGTCCCGGGCTTCAGGCCACCTTGGCTCCGGCCCCTGCGGTCTCCGGGGAGGCCCGGGCAGGACTGGGGAGCTGGCATATGTGGGGCAGAGGTGTGTGACCATGTCAGCTGACCAGGGTCAGTTTGGGGACACCCGCCCCAGTTTTGGGTCCCTGGCTCCCGTGGGGGAAGGAGGGGCAGCTCACAGAGTCGGGGCCTGGCCGCTCCCGGCTGCCCACAGGCCTGCCCGCCACGGCCGCCTCCGCATCGCCATTTGCTTCCTTCCTCCTGGAGAAAGCGTGAGGATGAAACTTTGCTGCCACTGGTATAGAAAGCGTGAACACACGCTCGGAGAAGGGAGCCCGGCACCCCCTTCAGTGACCGGCTCGTTCCGCCGCCGCCCTTCCCAGAGTTCCGCACTTTGCCGTGACCACACCGGCCGGTGGGGCAGCTGCCTGGGCAACCTCGCCGGCGCCTGGGCCACCTCCAGACCGGGGAGGGAAGGCCTCCAGACCCCAGGGCTCCCGGTCCCCACCGCACTTCCGAAACAGCGCACAGAAAATGCAGGACAGTTCAGAAGCGGCGGGGGCGGGGCTGGGGAAGCACCCCCGGACCCTGGGCTCCCCGCTTGCCCGCGGCTGTGAGTCGCGTGCACTTTCCTGCAATACAAAGGAGACACGGACCCACTGATGCCACTAGCGGGGCCCACGGCCGCTGCCAGAGGAGGCCCGAGGGTGTGAGAGTCACAGGAAGGTCTCCAGTCCCGTGGCCACCGCCCTGCCAGGAGGTGGCCCGGTCATTTCACCTGCCTGCTGCTGGACATGACGCATTTTTGGGTTTTCTACTCTGACCTCTGGTGGCTGTGGCCGGCCTCGTGACCGCCTGGGGACAGACCGGCCTGGGGACAGATTCTTGCAGAGGACTGCGGAGCGCAGGGGTCAGCACGGCCGGCCTGGCCTGCCCGAGGCCCTTGCTAGCCTGGCGCCCGCACCGCCTCGTGACCGGCCTTCTCGGCGCGGTCCCAGGCGGGAGAGCGAGCCTCCGGGCGCAGCGCGCCGGTCCTCGACTGCCGTGGGACTGGATTCGCTTCCATGTCCCTTGGATATTTTCTTTCCGTGAAGCCTCAGCTCCTGACTTCTCGGTCCCCTCCAAGCCGGCCGAGCCCGGAGCCCCCCCACGGCAGACGGGACCACCAGGGCAGGGTGGGGCTGGGGCCGGGGCTGGGGGCAGGCGGGGCTGGCAGGAGCAGGCTGGTCTGGCCCCCGATGCCAGAGGCACCCCCGGCCGGGTCCCACCTGCCCCTGCATCCCCAGCTCAGGCTTCTGTTCTGTGGGAGCTGGTGAGGGCGCCCCTCGGACCCGAGGACACCCTGCAAGGCCCGCGCCCTGGGGTCCAGGGAGACCTGGCGGGACTGGAGCGGGCGGGGCCCGAGGGTTCGCGCCTGCACCGGAGTGTGTTTCTGAGGTCAGGCCCACGGCCCACGGGGTCAGACGAGTGGGGTTGGATCTGGGTCTGCTTCGTCGGTCTCCGCTCGGCCCCGCCCGTCTAGTTTACAGTCGGAAGCTCCCTGCGGGGCTGCAGAGGAGGGCTGGGGGGGCCGGCTCTCTGGCAGCAGGGAGAGTTCTGGGTGGGGGGCGGCACATCAGCCAACCCCTGCCTGGAGCTGGGGGCGCAGGGACCCCGCAGGGCCCTCAGGGCGTCCAACTCAGACTCCGTCACCCGTGGGCTGATCCGGCGGGCGCTGTCCCATCCCAGGCACGGGCAAAGTCGCCTCCCCCCGCCAGCCGCCTGCCGCCACCGTCCCTACGGCTCTTGGCGTCGACGCCAGCCCGGACGCCTCCCAACTGTCTGGAGGAGGCCCCCCGCGTTCTGGGCTCAGGGTGGCTGCCCATGGAGGTGGGGGCTCCCGGGATCCTGGACCCGCCTCTCCGGGTGGCCTGTGGCCTCGGGCGAGCCGTGAGCCGTGTCGCCTCAAGAGAAGGGGGCAATGGCTCTGCTGGGGCTGGGGGGCTCGCAGGGCAGGGCTGGCCCCGGGGTGTCCTCCAGGAGCAGGCCTCGGGGCGCGGAAGCCTCCCCAGCCCTCTTCCTTCCCTCAGCGCTCATAGGTGAGGGGACGCCGTGCCCCATGGGCCTCTCCGTGTGCTAAGTGCGGCCTGGGCCTTGGCCTCGCTCTGCCAGCTGGGTCCCTGCAAGGGCCAGGCGCATTCTCTGGGAGGCGAGTGAACGGGGTGCGGGGCGGTGTGGATGTGTGACCAGCCCCTCTGCCGGGCGCCACCCGGCGGCTCTGCGCCCCCCGGGGCTAGGGACCAGTTGGTGCAGCGCTGCCCTGCGGGGACGGGGCCTGAAGACTCGGGGACAGCCAGGCCAGTCCCTCAGGACCTGTGCCCACCGGCCGTCCCCCCGCAGCATCATCAGGTGGTTCGTCCGGAACTTCAAGTACCTGTACGGTCTCCGCTTCCAGATCAAGGGCCGCCAGAAGCTGCAGGTGGACCACCCTTGCGTCATCATCTCCAACCACCAGAGCATCCTGGACATGATGGGTAGGCCGGGCGCCAGAGGACCAGCCTGGACACCAGGCTGGTGGGGGGCACATGGGGCTGGCATGGCAGGGGACTGCCAGTGCCAAGGCCAGCTCGGGCTCTGCCCTCTCCCGTCGCCCCGGGGAGCTCCCATCCAGCCCCTGCCAGCCCATGGCCCGGCCGACGCTCCCCCCACCACGTCCGCCCCTGAGGCCGCTGGTGTCCCCGCAGGCCTCATGGAGATCCTGCCTGAGCGCTGTGTGCAGATCGCCAAGCAGGAGCTGCTCTTCCTGGGGCCGGTGGGCCTCATCATGTACCTGGGGGGCGTCTTCTTCATCAACCGGCAGCGCTCTAGCACGGCCGTGTCCGTGATGGCCCAGGTGGGCCAGCGCATGGTCGCGGACAACGTGAGTGCTGGGCGGCGGCTGTGCAGGCAGGGGCGGCGGTGACCCTTGGGAGGGACCGCGCGCGACAGGCGCGGCCGGGCTGGGCGGGAGGGGCGGCCTGGCTGTGGCCTGGCCCCTGCAGCTGCCCCCTTCCCCTGCAGCTCAAAGTGTGGATCTACCCTGAGGGCACCCGGAACGACAACGGGGACCTGCTGCCTTTCAAGAAAGGAGCCTTCTACCTGGCCATCCAGGCCCAGGTGCGCGGGCCGCCCTCCGGTCGGGGTGTGGGAAGCGCGTCCGGGTTTGCCCTGTGGCAGTGACCCGGGCAGCTGGGCTGCTGGTGCTCAGGGCCACGCCCCCGCAGACAGCCCCCGCGCCTCCGTCGGCCGGCCCCTCTCCCACCCCACGTGCAGGGCTGGTGCCCGCCGGGCCGGGCCTCCGCTGGAGTCACACGGCCTGCCCGGAGCTTGGCGCCCACCCTGGCGGGCTGGGGGCGGGGCTGCGGGTGCGGCGGAGGCTTGCTGGGGCGCGGTGAGGTCTGCCTGGGGCTTTTCTGGGCGGCCAGTCAGTCCCACAGGTATTCTGGAATCTGGGTGACAGCGCGGGGACTGAGGGCACACCCACCCACGGGCAGGGTCCCCTGGTGGGAACTGGGTGCCCCGCGGGAACTGGGAGAGCCCTGGGGGCAGGGCTGGGGCTGTCCTGCGAGGCTGATGCCCCTGCCTAGCCCTGACTGGTGACCTCTAGCGCCCCCTGGTGCCTGGCCTAGGCAGCTGGGCCTGCCGGGCACTGGGGGTGTTTGGGCGCTGACCCCCAACATCTATGAGGTCGAAGCAACCTGCTGCGCACCTGGGGCTGACGTCACTTCCCTGGCAGGCGTGGAGGAGGGTTGTGGGAGAAGGGACACCCAGGCCTCTGGGGGCACACGGGTCAGGGCAGCCTTAGCCCTGAGCTGCTCCCACATCTCCTGGGGGTGGCCAGGCCACAGCCCCCCACTACCTGCTCTGTCCTGGCCGCTTGCCTGGGTTAATGATTACCCAGGCATGGCTTTTGACATTGAAGTCACCATTGGACTGGACCCTGGGGCCTGCCGGGAAGGGCAGCAGGTCCACCCCCTGCCCGGCTGGAGCTGCCCTACACCCCACAGGGCTGGGGGCGAGGGACGGGGCGGGAGATGCCGGTCACCCCTTTCCTAAACCGCTTCATCGCAGGTGCCAGTGGGGACGCAGTATAAGCCAGCTGGGAAGGCTTCCCGGAGGGGGGTGCTTGAGAGAAGGCGTGCAGGACGGGTTGGGGCCCTGGCCGCCTGGCGTGTGTGCAGGGCTGGGGCATGGCCGGCGGGGCCCCCCGACCCGCTGCCCTCGGGCCCCAGCCCCTCACGCTGCACCCCCTCTGCAGGTACCCATCATCCCCGTGGTCTACTCCTCCTACTCCTCCTTCTACAACCCCCAGACGAAACTCTTCACCTCGGGTAACCGCCTCCCCTGGGCCCCCCCCCCAGCAGAACAGGCCCCATGCTGGGCGGCCGCCGTGGGCCGTGGCCTTTGTGAGAGCTGGACAGGGAGCAGTCGTGGGCCGTGCGGCGGGTGGCACCTCCCAGCTGGGGCAGCGAGCCCGCGGGGACCCCAGAGCAGGACTTGGGGGCTTGGGAGCCCGAGTCGGCCTGGCTCCCTGGCGCAGGTGGGGAGGAGGGCCCCGGCTGACAGACGGCAGGGGGAGCCGCTGTTTCCCGCGGCCTCCGGAGCTGGGGGCTGGCCACGAGGGGGCGCCGGGAGGCCAGCCCAGTGGTGCTGGCGGTCAGTCTCCGCCACTGACTCCTGACCCCCTTATCAGGAACCATCAAGGTGGAGGTGCTGGACCCCATCCCCACACAGGCCTCACCGTGGCCGACATCCCCCAGCTCATGGACACCTGCCACCGGACCATGCGGTCCACCTTCTTCCGCTTGTCAAAGACACCCCAGGAGAACGGGGCCCGGTGCTTGGCCAGCCCGGCAGCCAAGTAGCCAAGGCCAGGGCCTGGCTGGAGAATGGACAGAAGGACCCCTCCCCGCCGCCGGGCAGCAGCGGCTGGCCCTTGAGGCTCCGGAGCCAGCGGGACGGCCCGAGCCCTGGCGCCTCCGGCCTCAGCGGGCGTGGTGGGCTGAGGCTGCTGGCGGGGCTGCGGGGCTGCGGCTGCAGCCGGAGTTGAGGCTTGGCCCTCCTGCCTGGGCCGCGGGGTACGGGGCAGGCTCCCGGTGTGGCCACTGCCTGCTCGGGCTCCGGGCCTGGGGCCTGGGGGGTCGGGTGCCCCCGCGCATGCGCCGCTGGTACTGCGCTGTCAATAAAGGAGCCTTGAGTGCACGCGTGCTGTGGGGCTGGGGGCGGCGGGGCTGCGGCGTCTGTCCTGGCGCCGGACGGGGAGGCACCGCCGGGCAGGGGAGTCTCGGGCTGCCTGCACCTCCCCCCCGCACAGTGTGGGCGCCCCCCAATCCCTGCCCAAGGGCGGGCACCGCGCTCACCGGGAGGGGCTGTCGCCGCCACAGACCACCCTCCGGGTGGGCCCCCTGCGCAGCCAACCCAGGGCTGGGTCTGCACTGGGCACCCCCCAAACACCCATCCATCCATCCATCCTCAGGCGCAGACGTTTCTTGGTCTCGTTTTTATTCCGACAGAGGCTCAGCGGGCTCCCCACCAACCCGGCGGGCAGCACGGCCCGGCCCCGGCAGGAGCTTCGTACCTCCCTCAGCAGGGCCCCACAGCCCCGAGCCGGCCGGGGTGTGGGGGTCTGTCCTGGGGGCTGGGCCACCCCTGCCGCGGAGCCCGGGCCAGGGCGGGGGCGAGGAGACGAGTCTGCGGGTCACGCTGTCACGGGTCCTTCTTGCAGGAGCCTGGGGGAGGGGGGGGTCAGCTGCACTGCCCCCGCCCCCCGCAGCGACCTGCCCCCACCCCCTGGGGTCTGGACTGGGGGGGCTCACAGGACCCCAGCTGCTCCTCCAGGAAGGAGATCTGCTCGCTCAGGGAGTCAATGCGGTCCAGCTGCTGCAGGGAGTGGGCGAGGAGGCGGCCGGGATCCGCCAGGCCCTGCTCCAGTGCCCGGGAGGCCAGGCCGCGCAGCGGGCCCAGCACCAGCTGCAGTTGCTGTGGGGAGAGGGCCTGGCTGGGGACGGGCCGTGCCGGGCAACCCCCACCCCACCGGGGCTGGTCAGCAAGGGCTTGTGCTGGAGGCGGTGCCACGGGGGCTGCAGCCCACAGTCCCGGGGCGGGCAGGGGCCGGGGGCCGGGCGGCCCGGGCGGTGCTCCATGACCAGGCTCGTCTGGGGCAAAGGCAGGTGGGCCAGACCTGGCTCGGCTCTCTGGCCTGCGGGCAACCCCGTCTCGCAGCCCCTGCCTGGCGCGGGGCCCTCCCCTGGGCCCCACCGAGTCCCGCAGCCGCCCCAAGGAAGGGGCCGCGCCCCAGGAGCCCAGGCCGGGCCTCACCTGCTCTAGCACGTCCACCCTTGAGCGGAGCCTCTGCATCTCCTCCTCCGCCCTGCTGTCCACTCCTGGGGGACCAGGCGCTGCGTGAGGGCGGCCCCGTCCTGCCCCCGAGGCCAGCCTCATCCCAGACGGGCGCCCAGCCTGGGGCCCGGGGTGGCCCTGGGGGTGCCCCCCCCCCCCCGCGCGTCCGCGAGCCGGTGCTGGCCGAGTCCGCCTCTGGGCGCGGTGCCGGGCTGCCGACGGCGCATTATTACTCACGGTACGAGTTTGGAGTGTCACAGCGCGTACCAAAAGTAATAATGCCCCGTCACCAGCGGAGGTGCTTGTCTCGCCGCCCGCCTTCGCGCTCGCCCGGCCGGACCCAGCCACGCTCGGGGCAGAGGCCGCGCCCCCCTCCCTGGGAGAGACCCGGGCAGCCGCGGAGCTGTGGCGCCCCGCCCGCCGCTGGGCCGGCGAGGGGCGGGTACCTGTGGCGAGGGCCCCTCCGTCCGCAGGTGGGCCGGGCCCCTCCTGGCACCCGCACGGGTAGCCGCCCGCGGGGCTGCAGCGCTGGGGACAGCCGCCGCCCCGGGCACGGCACGCGTCCGCATCTGCGGGAGAGGGGAGTCAGCCGCGGCCGCCCCCGCAGGCCCCCCCCAGGCGGGACCCGGCCTCACCGGTCTGGCAGGTGGCCCCCCGCCACCCTGCGGGACAGTGGCAGCGGCCGGGCTGGACGCAGCGCCCCCCGTTCTGGCACGGCGGCTGGCAGATCGCTGCGGAGGGGGTGAGGGGTCTGTTACCGAAGCAGGAGGAGGGGCCCGGGCCCACAGGGCTGCGGTGGGGAGGGGGCGGCGGGCAGGAGGGGCACCTCACCTGCGCCGCAGGCCCCGGGGAGGCCGCCCGCTCTCTTCCAGCCGGGGCAGCAGGCGTAGCGGGGCCTGGGGGTGGCCGGCCCGGGGCTGCGGCGATAGGCCGTCCTGTAGATGGTCCTGTGGGTGGTGTTGGGGGCTCAGCGGGGGCCAAGAGGCAGCACCCACACACCATGCTCAGAGTCCCGGCGCAAATGAGACCACCCAGGTGTGCTCTGGGGGTCCTTGCCCCGGGGAAGGCACCCTGGGGAGACTGCCAGGGGTGTCGCCCTCCCCCCCAGTTGTGGCATTAAGCAGCACCAGGAGGCCCGGCCGGGAGCCGCCCAGAGGCCCGGAGCACGCCTCCTGCCCTAGGGGTTGGGGCTCGCCCAGAGGGGAGGGTTTGCCGCCCACCCGCCCCGTCCTGCACGTGTGGAGCGTGGCTGCCAGGCCCCACAGGCCCGGCCTCGGCCTCCCCGCAGATGAGTCTCCCTGTGCCCCCGGCTGGGGAGGGAGGCTGACCTGCCCCTCGCCTCTCCCCACACGGCCCCCCCTCCCCAGGGAGGCCTCCCAGAGCCTTACAGAAAAGCCCCTTCTAAGCCCAGCCCCAGGGCTGAGAGCCAGGGACTCAGGCCCCCACTGGGGTCAGGCTGAGGGCCTGGGGTTGGTCTCCCTCGGTCACTGCTGGGGCCCTCAGGCCAGGGTGCCCACCAGACCCCCAAGGACAGGCTCTGGGGGGCAGGACGGAAGCACGTGGGAAAGGACTTGCAGGCGGTGCCTGGGGGGGGCGCGAGAGTGGGGAGGGCACACAGGGCGGGCGACCCGAGGGTGGGGCCGAGGAGCTGCACGCCCCAGACGGGCCAGGCCCCCAGCCAGGCCCCGTGCCCAGACCAGCCGCGGTCCGCGCGGGCTCACCGGTAGGAGCTGCAGGCTCGGTGCCCGTCACACGTGGTGAGGAAGGGCTGATAGACGCGCTGCACGAAGGACTCGGGCCCGCGGCTCCCGGGCGCCCCGACGGCGCACACCCTGCGGCTGCAGGGGCGGGGGCTCTGGTCAGACGGGGCTCCCGAGGCAGGACCCTCCGGCCCCCCAGCCGGGGAGGGACCCGCGGGAGCCTTTGGGGCTGCCCCGGGGAGGGGCCTGAGGCTCACCCGGGCCGGTAGAGGTGCTCCGCGCCCCCCGCGGCCAGCACCAGGAACCACAGCAGCGGCAGCCCGCGGGGCCCCCACATGATCCGTGCGTCCTCCCCGACAGCCTTCTCTGCTGGGTGGCCTGGGGCACAAAATAGGACCCCGTGAGACTCTGCAGACCCCCTCGTGGGAGCCCACGCCCTGGGGGACACTGCCCCCCACCCGCAGCCTCCGGCCAGCTCTCCCCTCCCCTCATCCGCCACAAACCGGCTGGGGACCCAGAGGGGCGCCGACATTGGCTTCCGGAAGGGAAGTGAGCCTCCCCTTGCCCGGCAGGGGCACACATGTGCCCGCTCAGCCTGTAAACGGGGTGCTGGTGGGCAGCACTGGAACCCAGCCCTTCTGGGCTTCGGGCCAAGTGGGGAGCCGGCTGAGGGGGTGCCGGGGCCCCAGTGCAGGAGGGTGGGCTGTCTTCAGGGGGGTTCACGCCCCCCCTGGGGGCCAAGCCAGTCTGCAGCACCAGGCTCCAGCAGCCCAGCTGGCACCTCCTGGGGGGCAGAGCAGCCCCCGCCCGGGCCCTCTCCAGGCTGTGGAGGGGAGCCAGGGAGGCTGCAGGGGGAATCCTGGGAATGTGGGGAGCCCCAGCTGGGAGTGAGCAGTCTGCACTGGGCGGGGGGCTGCAGCGTGAGGGGGTCTGGCTCCTGGGCAGCCTGGGGGGCAGCTCCTTGCAGGTCCCCCAGCACAGCAAGGAAAGAACGTGGGGGGCAGAACACGAGCGAGGTGTGTCTCCTCCGGGACTGTCCCTCCCTGGGGCGCGAGGGGCCCCTCCCGCCCTGCGTCCTCCAGTGACCTGACGTTGGGCCACGCTGGGCCGCTGGGCCGTGGGCCCCCGCAAGCCCGGCCCACAGGGGGGCGAGGCCCAGCCCCTCGGCCCCGCAGCTGGAGTCCAGCCCGCGCTCCGGTCACGGGGAGCACAGCCCTGAGCAGGGGGGGCGGCCGAGGGGGTGCCGCGTGCGCCCCCCATGGGGTCCGAAGGGGGCGCGCAGGGGACAGAGTGGGCTGCGACGCGGGGCTTGGCGCGGTGGGTGCGGGGCGTCCCGCAGCGCCCGGCCGGGGAGCGCCGGGGGGCGGGGGGGGGCGCGGGGCGGGGCTGGGGGGCTGGGGGCGGGGCTGGTGGGCACCGGCTGCGGCGGGCCCGCGGGGACCGCCCCCCGCCAGCGCGCGGCGCCTCGCCCGAGCCGTGAGGCCATTTTCTGAAAGTCGCGCTCCCCGCGGCTGCCGGCCCGGCCCGGCCCCCCGGCCCGCCCCAGGCGGGGTCCGCCGCGGCGGGGCCCGACCCCCTCTCGCCGCGGGGCTGTGCGCGCGGGGCCGCCGGGGCGGGGCGGGGCGGGGCGGAGGGAGCCCCCCGGCCGGCTCGCGGGGCTGCGCCCCGACCCGCCCCCGCGCCGGCCGGGGGGTCCGGGGAGCGGGCGGGCCCCGAGGGTCCGCAGCCCGGGGCGGGGCGGGGCGGGGCGGGGCGGGGCCCCCCGCGGCCCCGCCGCCAGCAGGGGGCGCCCTTCCCCGAGGCCCTGGGCGCATCCCCGGACCGGCCGCGGGTCAGGGGCGGGCTGGGCTCGGGGCTCCGCCGCCGGCGCCCCCGGCCCGCTCACCTCTCGGGTCCCCGCGGTCGCGCTGCGTCGCCCCGGAGGCCGCCCCAGGTCCGCGGCGCCGAGGCCCCCGGGCGCCCCGCAGGGCTCTGCCCACCCCGCCCGCGCCGCCCCGCGCCGCCCCCGCCCGCCCGCCCGCCCCGCCGCCCCCCGCCCCCCGCCCGCCCCCCGCGCCGCCCCCGCCCGCCCCCGCCCGCCCCCCGCCCGCCCCCCCCCGCCCGCCCCCCGCCTCACCGGCGCGCACGCGCCGCGCCTCCCCGCGCCAGGGGCCCGCCCGCCGCCCCCCGCCCCCCGCCCCCCGCCCGGGGCCCCATTGCGCGGATGCGGAGACTGAGGCCCCGCGGCGCGCGACGGCCCCGGTGAGTCAGCGGGAGCCGGCGCCGACCCCCCCGCCCCCCCGCGCCCCCCGCCCCCCACGCCCCCCCACGCCCCCTCCCGCGCCCTCCCGACTCTGCCGCCTGCGCCGCGCCCGGCGGGGTCCCTGCGGCTCTCCAGCCCCAGCCGAGGGCCCCCCGGAGACCGGCACCCCCGGAGGGCGGCGCCCCAGGTCCTCGCCCCGCGCCACGCCTGGGCGGGCAGCCCGACCTCCCGGCCCCGAAGCCCCGCAGAGGCCTCCCCAGGAGCCGGCGGGGCCACCGCGTCCGGGCCTGTGCTGGGGTCCCGCCGCCCCGCTCTGCGCCGGGCGTGGTGGGGCTCCCGGGCGCCCACCCCGCGGCCAGCCGTGGGCGCTGGGCTCCTGGGCCTGTCTCCCCCGGCATCGTCTCCCGCGTGGCCAGAGGATGGGGTGCCAGGAGGGGCGGTGCCCAGCGGACACAGTGGCCCACACGCTAGCGGGCGCCCGGCCCCCTGGGTCCCTCCTGTCCCCGCTGTGCGCCCGCGGCTGTGGGTGAGGAGCGGGCCTGCCGCCCGGCACCCTCTGCCCTCACACCTGAGCGCTGGCCTGGCCAGGTGGCGGGTGCCTGCGCGGGCAGCGAGCCCGGGCCCCTCCCTCCGGAGCGCTGGGCCTGCCGGGCTCACCTGGAGAAGAGAGCGCTGTCATCCCCGGGCGCCCGCGGCTCAGCTGGGCGGGGAGGCCGCCCCGGTGCCAGGGCTGCGGGTCAGAGACACAGTGGGGGTTAGCCCCTTGGCCCCCCACATCGGGGGGCGGACGGGGCACCTCAGCCTTCGCTTGCGGAGAGACCCCCCCACCGGCTCACAGGCTCCGCCTCGGACACCCCAGGTCGCCCTTCTGGACGGGGCCACCACCTCTGGGCTCCCCAGAGACAGGTGGCAACAGCTGTTTTCGGAGCTGCCCGCCAAGCCCGCTGTTGGGCGCGGGTGCTGCAGGGCCCTGGGGGGGCTTCGTGCAGCCGCTGTGGGGCCCTGGGCTTAGGCCTGCCTGGGTGCAGGGAGCTGGAGCCAGGGGGGCGTCTGTGCGGGGCCCCTTCCCACGCCTGCAGAGTCGCCCTGGCCCGGGCGGGAGGCCGCGGCGCGTGGTCCGAGGGCCTTCGGTGGGGCAGCTGCTCTGGGAAGCCTGTGACCGCGAAAGGGGGCGGTCTGTGCCGCGGGGCCCCCTGGGTCTCCTGACCCCCAAACCCAAGCTGGGCAGCCCTCCCCCACCCCCAGGCGGCAAAGAGTTAAGAGCTGGTGGGGCCTCCCCGCCCTGCCCTGCCGCCGCCCTGCCCTGCCGCCGCCCTGTGCCTTCAGCTGCGGTCACTTGACCCTTTGACCAGCGCGGCCCCCGAGCGGAGCAGGAAGGCTGCCTGGCCTAGGTCAGCGGGTGCCTCTCTGCTGACCCTCGGGCCGTGCCCCTCTGCTGTCTCGTCTGGAAAGTGGGCAACTCGGGGACAGGCTGCGGGGCAGCCACGGGAGGACGGGGCGGCCAGGGCCCGAGGTGGCTGCGGCGGCGCCTTCCTGCCCTGCACCCCGCTGCCCCCCCGCCCAGCAGCGGCGGGCGCCTCCTGTCCTGGTTCCGAGCCCCGACCCTCATCCTGGCCGTGGACGACCCCCGCAGCCTCCCGGGAGGACGCGCCCACCTCAGGGATGCCCTTGGGACACCCGTCTCGAGGGGGGGAACCCAAGGTCCCCTCCGAAGAGCACGGGTCGGAGCAGGGGTGCCAGCCGGTCTGGCCTCTCCCTGCGGGGATCGCAGCAGCCGCGGCCCTGATGTAAAGCTGGGCCAGTGGAGTCAGGGCCAGACTTGGGCCCGGGGGCGCCCGGGGGTGAGATGGCAGAGCCCGGAGCGGCCCCCGCCCGCTCGGCTGCCCGCTGCCTGCCCTCCAGCCGCCCCCACCGTACCTGCTGCTGCCCGGCCGGGCTCCGCCGAGGCCGCCGCGCCGCCTGCCAGGGCTGGGCAGCCGCTGCCCCTGCCTGGGCGGCCGCCCCAGCCCCAGAGCACCTGCTGAGGCCGCATGGCCGGTCCCACGAGCGCCGCCGGGAGGTGCGGGGCGGCCGGCGCGGGCAGGGAGGCTCCTCCCGGGCTGAGGAAGGGCGGCTTTTTATGCGCCGTCCCTTGTAAATCGGGATTGGGATGGGCCCTTCCCGGCAGGACTTCCTGTGCGTGTTCTCCGCTGATAACGGGGATCTGTCAGCGAACAAACAGGAGGCCGGGGCGGGCGGCGGGGGCCGCCGGGAGGGGCTGGCCGGCGACTGGCGCTGGGGTGGGGGCGCCGTCCCCTGGGACTCCAGAGTCTAGCCCTGCGGCCGCCAGCAGCCAGGCCCGGCCGCCCGTGGGCTGGTAGCCCTGCTGACACGTGACCGGGGCCGAGGTTCCCCAGCCTTAGCAGCTCCCCAGATGGCGACCTGCACCTCCCCCTGCCCCCAGATGCGTGCGCCACGCTGTGAGCGCCAGGACGGCTCCTGGCGTGGGTGGGCCCGCTGGAAGTGGCCTCGGGGCCAGGGTGGTGGACAGCAGCCTCTCTGGGTTCCTGGGTCCCCAGTGGCCGTGGTGAAGGTGACAGGCGGGGGCAGAGCCAGCTCAGCACACCGGGTCGCCAGAGCGAGCGGCCCTGGGGGGCGCCCAGGGCAGGGGGCAGTGAGCCCCTGGAGACGTGACTGGGGGCGGGGTAGTGACCCCTGGAGGGGTGCAGGCAGGCCCTAAAGCACCCAGTCTCACTTCACTGGGGTGCACAGGTGATGACACCCAGGACCCAGGGGCAAGGGCTTGGCCAGTCCCCTGGCCTGTCCCCCTCGGCCTCCGCAGGCCGGGCAGGGGTGATGCAGCGTCCTCAGGCGGCCACGAGGCGCTTCTGCAGATTTTGTGGGTGGCCCAGCCAGGGCCTGGCCCGCAGCCCCCTGGAGCCCGCAGGCTGAGCAGGCAGGCTCCCTGTCGGTGGGGGGCCCGGGGACCGGCCCCTGCTCACAGCCAGCCGAGGTGCTCCTCCCCTGGGAGTCCCCGTCCTCGTGCCCCCGCGCAGGGACACCCTCACTCCCCACTGGCCCTCCCCCGTCTGCCCACGCCACCGGGGCCCAGCCCGTGAGGGCAGCAAGGCTGGAGCAGCTTGGGGACCCCGGAGAGCCCACCTGGACTCACAGGGCAGAGGGGCCAGCCCCGCGGTGGGCGCAGTGCTGGGGATCCTGGCTGGGGCGGCCCTGCCACTCGGGGTGGGGTGGCCTCTCTGGGCCTCGGTGTCCCCATCTGCTCGTGGACACAGGCGCCAGCGCTGGTCTGGACAGGGAGCGGCTGGGGTCCCTCCCGGGCAGTCCTCCTGAGGCCGGGGCGGCGGCAGCCCTCGTGCCCCCCACAGGGCTGCACCCCTGGGGCCCTCGCTCACATGGCCCCTTCTCAGCTACGTGTCAGGGCCAGGTTGTGCCCCTCCCGGAGGCGCCCCCCTACCCATGTCCCCAGGCCCAGCCAGGGGTCTGCTCAGTGCCCCTGGCTGGAGGAACCCGCCCTTTCGGCACGGGGGATACTGAGGCCCGGGCCCGGCCCTGCTCTCTGCTCTCCCTTCCCAGGGGCGCCCCGGTCCTCCGGCCCCCCACCAGCGGCTGAGGGTGGGCCGCCCCCCTCTCTGAAGCGTGGGCAGGTTGGGGAACTTCCTGGAAAGATGGCCGGAGCACAGAGGGGAATTGCAAGCCAGGCGTCCTCCCGACGGCTGCCTCCGGGGGGGCCCGGCCTGCTGCCCACGTGTTCTGTGGGGTACCCCACTGCTCAGCCCGCCCCCCGCCCCTGAGGCCCGCCGCGAAGCCCGCCCGAGGAAGCAGGCGCCGCCAGGGAGACGTGCAGTGGGCCGGGGTCCTGTCTCCCCGCATGTCACCTGCTCTGTGAGCCCCTGAGCCCCAGGAG